AAAAAAAAAAAAAAAAAACAGATATCGACAACTAAAAAAAAATTAATTTTTTTAGTTGTCGATATCTGTTTTTTTTTTTTTTTCTACATCTTCACCACTTGTAATATTCGCCAAACTCAGCCATTTGTATGATTAGTTGAACGATAGAAAACTTTAGGAAATGATAAACCAAAAATGGGAAGATAAAAGAAGATAAAAAAGTAAGGAGGTAAAAAAAATCTACCAAAAAAATATTGAAATTTATTGATGGGTGATTTTAGAAATAAACAGATCGGCCAACGAAGAGGTGCAGAAGAAGTGGAGTGACAGTGGTAAATTGAACAGAAGAAGCTGAGACAACAAAGGGAAAAAGTGAAGATTAAAGAGAGGTGAAAACAGCAGGCAGAAAAGAGGAGAAGGCTGAAGGAAGAAGGAAGGAATTGCAGTGATAAGACAGGAAAGGGGTGGAGTGAATAGACTGTTCATAAAGTCCTAGTTTTACGTACATTTTCAGTGAACGGGTGCATACTTGTTTGTCTTTACCGGAGAATGTTCTGGTGCATAAAAGCTCTATGGCGTTAAAGAAGACTTCAGACTTTTGCTTTGACGATGTAACGTCAAAATCAACTTAGTTGGTCTATGATGGAAAACATCCTTTTTTTTTTTATAATTTAGCTGACAACTGCCTATTTAATCTGTCCAGCATTTTGGATTAAACAAAAAAAAAAGAAACATCAACACCGTGATTTTATTGCTGCTACCACTGCTGTTGTTGCTGCGTAAGGAGGCTAAGTATTTATGATTTTTATGATTTTTTAAAGATGATTGTCGCATACCTGATTAATTACTTTAAAAAAAATTCTCTTATAAACTTTAGGGTTTTACTTCTTTTTAGCGTTTATTTCTCGTCTTGCTTTATTTCTACGTATCGCTTCGCTCTTCTTGGCATATATGTTTTTGAATATCAAAGAAGTTTTGGCTTTGTTTACAATCTGTCTATTCAATAGAGCTGGAGAGCTTTCGATGAGTTTTGAAAGAAATAGCTAACAGATTTTATAATATGATTTTTTTGAAGATGATTGTCGCATATCTGTTAACCCTATATAACTGATTAGTCCAGGTGTTTACCAACAATTTGAGTTTCTTTTTGTATCTGAAATTTAGTTATAAAGTTAGTGATTGTGCCAAATACAAAGAAGAAATGCTGAAAATCAGTGTGGTTTTTTTTTTACAACATAAGTTTTACCATTTTTTTTTTTTGACAACTTTTTTTTTTCACCTAATTTTAGTTTCAAGTACAATATCGGTGCTAAAAAGTGTTTTTAACTTTTTGCTTTGCAGCTATCTTGTTTTTTTAATTCTTATTTTTTGTTTTTTTTTATTTTTTTTTTTTTGCAATTAATTAAGTGAATACCTTTGTGCCATTAGATAGTTTGAAAATTATTAGAACATTTTTTACCGCAATAAACAATAAAAAACGAAAAAAATGTTGACAATGCTTAGCAAAAGTGAAAATTTTGTCTAAATTTTGATTTTTTCCAAATTAGTATGTTTACAACACTTCTGGTAAAAAAAACGTTGAAGATTATGCATAAATGTTATGGATTTATATATTAAAACCAAAAGCGATTTGCTAATAGTTGTATTTAAGTTATTGCTGTTCAACTGGCAGTCATGAAGTGGTTAATTCTGGTAGTTTTAATCCTTACCGTCATCTTCGAATTTTCGTCGGCTGAATCTTCAATTCGAGCGTTAGTTATTGCCTTTACCTTTTTGTTAGAAAGACTGAGATTGAAAAAGAGACAAGACAGAAGTAAATAAGAACAAAAAAAGAAAGAGAGTCAACATTGACAAGAGAGAAGTTAATTTTGAAAAGTGGAAACAAAAATTTTCTTGGCCAATCTGTTTCTTTAGCTGCTCATTTATCTTATTTTTACTTTCTAGTTTCCCTTACATTGTCACTATGTTCATCCTGAGTACAAATTTGTTTCAGAAGCCGCGTTAAGCGCTACTATGGAATGGGTTATCCTGGTATGGGATACGGAATGGGAATGGGACATTATGGAATGATGCCACCCTATGGTGGATATGGAATGGGATTTGGAATGAGACCGTATGGAATGTGGGGCTAAATCGTGGCGCTTTTCGTTACCGCGACAGCGTTTTCTTTCTTGCCAAAATACTTCATTATCACATATTGCCCTTGATGGTTTTAAAAATATTATTTTTTTGGGAGGAAAAAAAAAGAGTGATACAGTAAGCAGAATTGTTGTACTTTGTTTTAGCATATTTAACGTTTAATTCAATGTGGAAAACAGAAACAGAATTATTTTCTTCTCACTGTTTCAATTGTACTTGTTTTCTTTAAAAACACCCAATTTTTTTTTTCAACCGATGACAGTGTACCGGTAAAATATGTAAATTAAAAGTATAAGCACAAATAAAGAACTATACAAAGCACTGTCTTCAAAACATTGATACATAGAGAATTAAAGAAATGAGCTGCAGATATTAGAGCCAACAGTGTTAGTTTTATCAGAAAATCAAATGTTTTCTAGTATACACCGTAAAAAAAGAAAACTTGATTGGTTTTTACTGTTTTTAACAAATATGAAAAAGAGTGTTTTCTGTTGTCTGATGAACCTAATCTTTAAACTGTGCCAAAATACTGAAGTTTTTTCAGTCAACCGTCTATGACGATATTATCATATTATTTAGATTTGTTGTTTTTTTTTTTTTTAAATCTTTTCCACTTTTGAAAATTGGGTATTATCAAAGAAAAAAAAATCTTTGTCGTAATTTTTTAAATTTATATTTTTTTTTTAAAAAAACGAATAAGAATTTTTTTTGAATTAGAATTTCTGATTCTTTGACAGATTTTCTTTGAATAAAAAGCACTGTTTTTTTTGTTTAATTCGCCACAATCATTTTTCTTCAGAATTTTTCAGATTTCAGATTGCTTTTTTGGTTTTTTACTTTAGCAGTTAAAATTTCTTAATATAAAGCCAAAAGATACATTAATTTTCTTTTTTTTTTTTTTTTTTCTGAATTATCGGTGGTCTAAGAAGTAAAATTGCATTAATTTATTAGAAATGATTAGCCGCAGTCTACCAAAGAAAAAACAATTAATTACCAAATGTTTCTCGTCTAATTTTTTCATTTAACTTATACTTTTTCGTAATCATTATTATTTTCTCTATTCATTCAAACGTTTAATAAAGTTTCTTATTTGGTAAATTTGCAGGTAAATTTCTCGACAAAAAAAAGAGGAAATATAATTCTTTTATTAATATTAAAAAAATTTTACATTCAATCAGATAAACGTGCTAATTACATTTTATGCATAAATTAAATTTTGCAGCAAATGAAAAAAAATGGTTAAGATTTAATTACAATTAATTTTTGCATCGAACTACTGACTAATATATTCTTTGATACAACCAAATTGTTGTTTTGCTTTGGAAATAGCAATTTGTTTTACGGAAACTGTCTATATATGCGATAAAAAAACGAAAAAAAACAGTAAAGTGAAGAAAAAGATGAGGAAAAAAAAATGAATTGACTGTTTTTTAGAACTTTTCGACATTTGTTTTTTTTTTTTCTTCTTCTTCTTCTTCTTTATGATTCTTTATTTATTTTTGCGTATTTCTTTCACACGCTTAGAGGAAAAATTTATGTGACATTGTGTGTTCGTCGAAGAACTGATTTTCCACTTCAACGGTAACAGTTAAAATAGTGTATTTTTATGAAAATGCCAACAAAATTTGCTGCATCTTTTCCAATTTTATTTTGCACCCAAAAATTAAGAACAACTATCTGAAAAACAACGATAATGATGTAAACGAACAACAGTAACAGTGATTACACTATCGACAACAGTGGTATGACTTTATTAACAGCAAAAAACTTTTGGTATCTGTATTATTTTGTCTTAATCGTTAACCTCAACAATAACTTCATCAAAGGGTAACAGCAAAGAAGAAATTGTTGAACAACCAAAAATTGCTGATACAGTAACTTGAGTACATAGTTTCTGTCTTGGCTGTAACTGTTGATTTTTTGTTCTTTAGCATTAAGTGTTCGATTCTTGATCAGAAAAAACTGGAATAAATAGTAATAAGAACACCTTATTTTACTGTACGTTATAAATTTTTTGTTAGA